CTTCAGGGATGAAGTTTCTCACAATGCCCAGTGAAATCTCGTTGTGGTCTTCTCATTATTGTCTTAAACTTCAGATTGAGTTATAGTCAAAATCTGCCTTTTATTCTTGGGGAGACAGAGAACTTACTTGATGTAATAAGTCAGGAAGCAAGAGCTCTTATTTTGGCATGATACTAAATGAGAAAGAGACTGCAATCTTAAATTTATTTGTATGTATTTGTAACTTTCATCTTGCCCAAATACTCAAAAATTGTGCAAATTGCTTTTAGGTATGTGACCACTTAGCTGAAGTGATCCTGAGTCTGACTTTGATTTGGTTAATCAAAATTATTATGATTTAAAAATGTATCATAAAGGCATTTTGTATTCATTTTCATGTAAATGAAAAAATATATATAATAAGCATCTATCTTTATAGATCACAGAATCACAGAATTGTAGGGGTTGAAAGGGACCTCCAGGGATCATTGAGTCCAACCCCCCTGCCAAAGCAGGTTCCCTGCATATGTGTATCTATGCAGACATCTTTGTTTCTATTATAAAGAAGGGTACATGCGTGTGTATGCATACATGTATATATTGTCATTCATTTTCAGTTTATAATCCTGAGAATACAAAAAACCTCAAAATTTCATTTGCTCTATGGGAACTGTATTTTGCATAACCTAATAGTCCTTTAGAGCTGAAAGAATAAATTAAAAAAATCCAGATTGATCTTTGAACTTGGAAGAATCTAGGAAAATATTTCCCATCTATTTAACATTTAATTGCATAGCATGCTTTAGAATTCTCAGTTGTTGTTAAGTGGTGTAATGCTTCAGGCTTGACTAATCATGAAGTTTAGGAATCTTAGATGAGAGATCTGAGCTGTAATTTATGCTGTAAAAGGGGCTTATGTTTTGCAAGAGTAGAGCCTATCTGATTTTACTTCAGTGGCAGTAAGGAGTAGTTGTTTTATTTGTGGATTTCCTGTATTTTGCGTTTAGTGTAACTGGAGCAAAATATTCCAAAATGATGAGGTGTCCCCTGCGGCTGAAATCATGCTATTTGGTTGAGTAGGTTTCAGGAATGTTCTGACATGCAGTTAACTTCTTATTCTGATCTTCAGTGACTTCAGTATTCAGAACAGGTGTTTAAAGGGAAAAGAATGTGTTTTTATTCCTAACTTTTTTCCAGATTTAATTAGCTTTACTTAAGCAACTTATGGAAATATACGTTATCATTGGTAAAGCCTTTGCCAATGTTTCACCACTTTCATATCATATATGTACACTTAGATATCACTTGAACAGAATAAACATTAATAATTTATTATCTTTGTATTTTTTATTAATGGTAACTATTATAACAATAAATTATTTTAAGACACTGCATTGCTCTATAAATTGTTGTGTCAACTGTTACTTGTCCTGTCATTTTTTAATTTACTGAAACCCCACAGAAACTCTGAACCCGAAGGATCTGTAATTAAGCAATATGTCTCTTCATCACAAACCAGTATTCTCTTGAAAAAAAAAAATCCATAGTTTGGACCATCTTTGAGACTTTTTTTTTTTCTTAACACTTTTTGGAGTGCAGGGTAACTGCTTGAAAAATATCCACTTGAAATCCTTCGTTTGCAAGGCTACGATGAGTCATAGAGCAGACTGCTGGTAATGGATAAAATTTTTGTACACATTTCAATAATTGAAATTCTGGCTCTCACTTCCCTCTCTAACAGTTGAATACTGTCTGCATGAGTTTATATCTCTTTTTAACATCAGTTATTCCATTACAAAGTGGGTTAAGCATTCATATTGTGGCTGTTTTAATTTTCAGATGCTAGAAAGTACAACTGGTATCACTAAAGCAATATGACTGTGGGACGGAGGTAGCTTCTTGATGGTCAGTGCCCTTAGGCAATGAGTTAGTAACTTCAGATTTGTGTCTAATATTTGATCTCTTTCCTCTTATAGCACTATTTCTAATTGCAGACATGTAAGAATTCGTTCCCAGATTGAAAAGGGCATTTATTTCCAAACTGCACAGTAAATTTCAGTCTCTAGAAACTGATATCTTCCTTCTGTCTTGTGAAACCGTATCTCTTTTAATCTCCCCGTACGGAAGCAGCAGTGGCTTGGAGTGATGTGGTCCCACCAGTGCCTAAAGAGTGCTTGGATTTACCTCGTGCTTTTCTGGGAGGAATGAGGAGTGATGAGGTTGCAGGCATACACCTCACAGCCTGCTTTCTTCTGCCTGCAGAAACCTAGCAGTAAGTGCTGTGCTGTTCCTCACAGGGATAGGGGACTCTTAGCAGTGCTTGTCTTCTTAGGGTCACCTTGTGCTGGCAAAAGTCCTGGCAGGCTTCACTGCTCACCTACCCATGTCATTCACTTCTAATTTTGGTGATGGCAGTCTGAAAAAAAGAGACAAACAGGACGTGTTTGGCTGCTGATTGGAGGGAGAGGATGGCAGAAGGGGCGCTGACAGAAGAGGACGTGTACTTTGAGGAGCATGTAGGCTAGGGCAGGTGGGGTGGAAAGGAGCCCAGGCAGCTGCCTCACCCAGGCCACTTCCAGATCCATGCTCTGGCCTCTGCAGCTGCTGAGTTTGGATCTTGCTAGCCTTCTTTTAACTTCTGCCAGAAAACAGCTTGTGCTTTTTTGAAAAGACTTCAAGCCCTCCATTGTTCCACTTCTTCCGCATAATAGTCTTTTACAACAGAGGAATCTGAAATAGTTGCGATTTGACTGCAAGATGTGGCAATTGGTTTCCTTTCTTTTCAGCCCCACAAGCAGACTGTAAGCCTGTGCCAGGCTGTTATTATTCCCCAAGCAGACAATTTTCTAGGCATGAAGGAAAGGAATGCTCATCGCTCTGGGGACAGTGTTTTGACAGTTGAGTTCACTTGCATTTTATCAGTCTTGTTTTGTTAGCTGAAATGGCTTTGCTGTACTTTAAAAGGTTTTACAGAAAAACTGTCTGCAGAAAAAAGATCTACAGAAAAACTGTTGTTTTTAAATGCACTTTATGATGATGTATTGTGCTGTTTGTTAAATGAAGAGGATAATAAAAGGCAGTGTATTTTGCTGTTTTAAAACACTGATTATGATTATTCTTTATTTAATGATTTACATCTTGAATTCAATTTAATGGAAAAAAAATGTCCTGAAATGAAAAGCAGTGTTCAGTAGCACTGTCTATCACAATGGGTAATTTTTATTCTTCCCCACATCTAAATAAGATGCAGAAAGTAATAAGAAAATGTTCTTTCTATTTGACAGTCCTTCCTAACTTCCAGTGGTAAGGTCACATACCTAAGATCTCCTCTAGGCTTGGCTAGCAATTGTGCTTTCTCAGAGAATCAAAATGACTTTTTCTGGATATGTTATTGCACTTTTCCTTGGTGGCTTGGATAACAGTAATAAGACTCCTTTCTAGCTGAAATTTAGAAACTGTTCATTTATATTCTTGATTTCTTCCTAGTAAGTAGGAGGTCCGTTACTTGACCCAGAAGTGTTCTCCAAGTACCAGCAGCATGTCAGGCAGCAACAGGGCAGTGGTGAAAGATGAAGGGTCTAGAGCACACAGCATGAGGAACAGTTGAGGTTTCTGAGTGCCAGGGTTCAGAAAACTTTTGAACATCTCTATCAGACATGGGGTGTTTGATTTTGGGTGATTCCATTTGGAGCGGGGCTGGACCTGATGATCCTTATGGGACCTTCCTGACTCAGGATATTTTATGGCTCTGTGATCTCATGGGTGTCAGATGCAGGGGGGCAGAGAGGAAACCGAGAGATGCTAGAAAGGACAGGTAGAAAATAAATTTGTAGAGAAGAATGTGATCAGGAGAAAAATGTGGGAAGGCCTAGTAAAATTATAAATGGAAGGGGAATGAAAAATGGAGCATAGTGATGGATAGTGAAAGAAGAGAGAAAGTTGCAGATGGGTGAACTTGGCCCTTGGGCAGAAATATTTCTTTTGTTGTTATTTTTAAGACCTGAAGCTTAATTCTCCATTCTGAGTTTTCAGAGAAAGAGAGGGGAGCGAGAAGTTTAGAAAGCCTGAGTTAGTTACCAAAGACAAACATCAGTGCTCATATTTAGTGTTGCATAAAAGCATCTGTCAAGTGGAAATTAATGTATATGTAGAGATCAGGAGAATAGAGGGGAATTTACATTCTTGTAATCACGTGGGGAGTGCAAGAAAAATGATTAAAAAAAAAATCATGCTGTTTTTAGCAGCGTGCTTTCAAGTGAATGCAGGCTTAAGGAGTTTCAAAGAATTAGAAGTAGCATGGAGTTTGGGAACAAGAAAACTGAAGGCATTTTAATATTGCTGGGGAAAGTAATTCTTCTGGAAATTCAGATATGCTGTGACAGATTCAAATCCTCAGTAAACGTTTTTGATAACATTTTTTTTTTTCTTTTACATCACAGAGATAAATATGTTCATGTGAAGTATCAGAAAACACTAAACTTCAGTAATTTTGATCATTTAAAATAGCCTGGCCTAGATGTAACTTGTTTACCTTTAGCTTCAGCAACTGCTTATTTAATCACATCTAATTACGGAAACCTAACTATCTGCAGAGAGATGAATATTTACTTTAGAATACTTCTTTCTTCTACAATTACATGTAACAAGCACTGTTCCTCTGCTTAGCAGTGGCTTTAGGATATGGAGGAAGAAAATAATGGAAAATGGATAATTCCTGACTTATTATGTACAGGCTTCTCAAGCTGCTTTATCTGTTTTTATCCAAAAACAAATAAGCCCTTAGAAGCAAAGACTAATCCCAAAGCTGTGTTGATGCAAACAGTTTGCATGCCAAAACAACTACTGGTGTGAAAAAGGGTTAAAAAAAAAAAAAAAAAGTGATTTTTCAAGATTGATTTTGTTTTATAGTAGCTGCTTAAGTGTGTAAACTTGATCTTATTAAGAAAAAATAAGAAAATCTGTGTATGCTGCTGGATAATCTTAAACGTTTAACATGCTATTTTTTGTTTGTTTCTTTCCAGATTTGAACATGGAATTCAACCCATCAGACCATCCACGGGCCAGTACGATATTTCTCAGTAAATCTCAAACAGATGGTAGGTTACTGAACTTATTGCTGTATTTACTATTGCAGTTATCTCTTTGTCAGAATGCATGTGATAGCTACTGAATAAATAATTCCCCTCCCTCCAAAAAAGAGGCTTTCATAGGTACTGTATGAGAGTTGAAGGAAATCAAATTAATGAGTATTTTGTCAGAGTTAGTACTTGAAGGTCACACTGAAGTTGTAAGTTCCAGTTTGTCATGGATAATGTAGAATATAATTATAATCAAAAATGTTTTCCCTACGTGCAAAATTTTCTGTGCAACCATGTTTTTTTGTTTGTTTTTCTTCTAACATTCTGAACAGAAGGCCAAAGTTCTGAGAAAAATGACTTTATAATATTTTACTGAAAAAAAAGCTTGTGTACCTTAGCTAAGAAGATGGTCCAGAGTTTCCTCTGATACAGCTGATCTGTAGATGAGTTCAGTACTAGATTTGAATAACAAAACAACCCATCTCCCACTCAAATCTTCTATCTTTTTCTCTCATGGATTTGAAATAATCATATATTTGTCTGGAGTTTTTTGGGTTTTTTTATTTGTAGACAAGATGATCACTCTGGAATTACATCTATTACGCAGGCTTCTTGATAGACGTAGAAGAATAGAAGCCATTTTCTCTGGCACTTACATTCCTTGCTGGACATTTATGACGTTGTTTTAGAAGTAGATGAAAATAATTGATGCAAAAGGCATTATTTTCTACCAAGACTTTCAAAGCATTTTCGACATTGTAATTCTGACTGTATGAATTCTTTGTCCTTCTTGCTGTTGCCTATAAATGCCATTTTTCATTTACATAGTAAATTACAGTGTCAAGCACATCACTTAGGAAAAAAAAAAGTAGTTTTCACTTGCCATATATTTTGTGCTAATTTTTGAGCTTGACTAGTACAAAGAGAATGCATTTAGGTTCTGATTGAAGAGTTGATTACTTGAGTACTTCTTTTGCCCTTCAGATTGTCCGGAATTCAGCTCTGATTCTGTCAGTGGCTTACTGTGTGTTTTTTGATGTGATTGTGCCATCCCGGTCTGGCTTGGTAATCTATGAAGTGAATATGATAACATTTCCATAGTTCAGTGTGTTGTCAAGACTGATGTTTATTTTTACAGTGCTTTGAGACTGTGTAGTCCCATGTGGTTGCTACATGTTTCTCACTACACTTTGTTGGGAAAAAAAAAGACAAAACTTCAGTTCCAAGAAATGAAATTTTTATCACTTGATGATGACTCTTCATGCGATAATAGTGATTAATTTGTTGCAGTATAGAGTTAACTGTACAAATATTTAAATGACGATTTACACCAGAAGTGTCCAACCTTTTGGCTTCCCTGTGCCATACTGATTGAAGAGGAATTGTCTTGGGCCACATATAACATATAGAATATGGTTAATGTGTATAAGTAACAAAACATCTTGTTTTTATATTTATGTTTCATTTAAACATTAAAAAATGAGGGCAGCAAAACCATAAAACCAGTGGATTGAACAAGTGTGGTTTATACCATGCTAGAGTTGGTGTGTGAAACCTTATTCTAATATATATAACACAAAGAACTCTACATAATTTTTTGAATGAGAACAGTGAATTTATATAAACTTTTAAAACAAAGTTTTAAGATCTGTTCAGCTGTTCTTGATCTTAGTGGTAAAAATCCAAGGGCTTGTACAAAAGAAATAAGATTTTGTGAACATTTATCTACTGATGTATTGCCAAGAACCATCCCATTCTGGTGGGACAACACACCATCATAGGCATTTTGCTGTACACTGCGCCTGTTGCAGCAGTAAGATAGCTGTTAAGAGTTATGCTGTTCAGGAATATTGCCCAATGCCAAATGCATTAGAATGCTAACAAGGGGAAGATATAAGGTTTTTCTTCTTTTTTTTGAGTTATGTAGCATTGTATTCTGGCAGCCTGCTCTGCAGCCTAAGAGATCTCCTAGGTCTAAAGTCAGTGTAGAAGGGGAGAGCTGCACCAGCAATGCTGAAAACACCCAGCTGGGGCATGTAGCTACCACTTTCTGTTATTACATAGCGTGGGGTTGATAAACCTTCATGTAGTTAACTGTAAATGAAAATATTTCTATCATCAAGAACTAAAGGCATTTAGCTGAGAGATATTTGGACTTGAGGTTTTGTCCAGGATCTGGCTGAGGCTCTGGAGTGTTGATTATGTATTTGTATAGTGAGAAAGGGCCAAGTCCATAACTACATGCAAAAGTGACTTGGCAGCGTTATCTTCAGGCAGCTGCGCATCTCACTTTCCAGTAACCAGTAATTGTTTGGCTTTCTAGTAATGCTGTGCTCTTGCAGCCTCAGTCGTGTAGTCTTAGCACAGGAGCTGCTCTTTGAGCTGTTGGTGAGCAACACGTAAGTGAAGAGCAACAATAAATATAATGAAACAGGGCGTAGCGTCTTTGGATGTTACATGTTCTGAATTTCCCGTTGTTCTGTGTGACTTAAATACCACACTAAGCATCGAGGTCTGTACTGTCTCTCATTGTCTCATAGTTTACTCTTAATTACCTGAGAGTTCAATAACTCCAAAGAAAAAATTGAAGACACAATAGATATTTATTTGATATGTAACTAAAATAGCATTTCTAAATCTTTCCAAGGCTTTATGGGAGTACTCTAGGTGCTGAGTCTTCCGTGAGAGGTTCTCCCTGTATGGGGAGACAGTAGAGGATGTCACCTTTCATATCTTGTCTTCTTTGAGTGCCTTATGCCAATTCTTGCTTAGTGAATTTGGCCTGTAAAAAAGAGTAGCTAGATGACTAAAAAGCCCTGCACTATTCAGCACCTGCTGGTGCTAAGCTAGGGTTTCCAAGCCCTAGTGCTACAATAGCATAACTTCCTTTCCTTGGAATAGCAAGAGCACAAGTGTTGCTCTTTCAAGGTGCTGGTAATGATCTTAACTACAAGTGGGTTACAGCTCTCCTCTTTTCCTAACTTATATTAAGCTTTACATGTGGAGTTCATTGGCTAAATTTTTTCCAATGTAACAGTTGGCTTTAGACAAAGCACATTTTGAAACCATATTTGTTTAATTTTGGATAGATGTAAACTAGGGTGTGTTTTATTTTTATGGTTAACTAGGGATGAGTTTGCTGATTCTCAGACAAGACGAAATGAAATGATCTGCAAACAAAATATGAGATCTTATTGATGTAATCCTCAATGGTTTTGACCTTGATAATATGGGTAACATTAAGGTTTCCTATAGAAAATACACAAATGAGATTTATGTTACAGCTTAATGAAAAATGCGTACTTGCTTATTCACATGCATGCATATATTGCATATTTGTGTATCTCCTCACTCCTTTTTATTCCCAGATAATGTTTTCCTACTCTAGCAAAAGTTCAAGAGTAACAATAGGAAGTGCCTGAAGAAATGGGAAATGAGGAAAATAAAGAACATTTGGCAGCATCTCAGATACCAGTCTTGACTTGAAGAATTCCAATCCAATTTTCACGTGTTAAAAATGTTAGAAAATACAACTTCTTCATTCAGTTGTTTAAACTGTGACTGTAGATCTGTTCATACTGTGCCATGCGAGCACTGCAAAACATCTCTAAGCTCATTGGAGCCAAAGAGCAGAGACTTATCTCTTTACAACAGTTCTAGAATAAGACTGGCAGAAACAGCTTTTGGCTTCTTGCAGTTATTGTCAATTCTGTCTGAAGGGAGGGTTGTGAGCACAAAAGAGAGCATCTACCATGCTGCATTTCTCATTGACGTACATTCTTGTGAGACTTGAGCCTCAGGCTGTAGTAGAATGATCCAGAAGCATGAAGGCACAACTGCTTTCTTGTAGTCCCTCACTGGACAATGAAAGCTAATGAAATTTCTATTATGTGCAAAAAAGAAGGGGAAGAGAGTCAAGGTGGTACTTGGAAAACTGTGTGGCACAAATTGATGTTTGAATAGGCCAAAGTGAAAGGTGTATAAATACACTAGTATATTTTTCTGGAGGTTGGAAGTAGCAATAAGAGCTGTAAGTGATATTCTTGCTTTGGTAAATAATAGTACTTCTGTAGGGAATGGAGTGGTGTAATATGTACAAGGGAAAATACAGAAGATAAAGTCTGAGACAGAGAAAAAAGGTGTTCAAAAATAAGATTTGGAGTTTATGTGCAGACTGTGTTTGTTGGATTTTGTCCATAACAATTCTGTTTGAGGAGTAATTGTGACTGTTGTCAGTTAAATATTTAACTGTGTTTGAAATGTCACAGTTAAAGCTGTTAATTTTATGTACTCTATTAGGTTTACATGCAACTTATCAGAATTGCTTACTGCCTGTATATTGCAATATGCAATGCCTGACAAATTCTTTATTCTTAGAAGTACCTACTGTCACTTTGTGTTTCCCTTTAGATTGCTTATGTCTTTTGCTGGTTGTAAATGCAGTGTATGGAACTTAAGTGTAGTGCAGTGTTTTAGCAGGATTTCAAGCAGTTTAACTATTTGCTCGACAACCTGAACTCTCCTGCTGTTCCTATTTTATTCTGTCTTCTATACAATGTCCATAACTGTGGATCTGAGCATGTACTAAGTGACATGGCTAACATCTGTCATGTGTGATTCTCCTTTCTGCTCCCTGGGAGGAAAATTATGTAAGGATTTTTTAAAGTATTTTCTTACTTTATTTTTGTTTTATGTCTGCATTAAGCAATATTTCACAGTATCCACACGTACAGCCTTGTTTATGTTAGATTGCTTGCTTTTGAAAAATAAATGAATCACAAGTAATGGCTTCTCATCCAACAGGGAATGGACAGGCTATCTATCCCACCATTGCAAACACTCTTATTTTGCTAAGTGCATTGGGTCGCATAGCTTTCAAATCATAGCGCACCGAAGTGCATTTAATCATCTACAGCATGAAACCATTATTACTTTAATCCTGCGGTTTGATTTATGTATTAGTTGCCTCCAGACTCGTATCCTAAATGCTTTGGTATTTTCATGGGAAGGGAACTCCACAGGCTCTATGGGGTGAGTTAATTGGGGAAGTGCTGAAAAATTTAAATATACTGTATTTCATCAACTGTAATAAAAATTTGCCTGACATTGAAGACTGTACATGTCTCCCTCGTTGCTGCTGTTTACTGAGTATTTGGGCTGCTCGCTCTGATCTTGACTTGCAACCCCTGCTTGTGATGACTAGTTCTACTCACCAACTTTCATTGTTATATCTGACCTGAGTAATAGCTTCAGACTTGCAGCTTACCACTAGATAAGGCAGTGGGATGATGCATATACGTTTTCAAAGCACTTTGATGGGAGTTAGTTTTTCACAGTAAGCTTCAATGAGAATTTGCTAACTCCATGGAGTAACTGTTTAGGTGCTTTCATGACTGTGAGATAGCGTAGGTCACTATGCAGCAGGGTACCTTGCACAAAGCTATTGGTGACCTAGAGTACCTGCAGAGATCTCTGGTGAAGGATGGCTGACTTGGACCATAGCTTTCTGCTGTTAACCTTCCCATGTGTACCAATGCCTAGTGAATACCCAAATGGATGAGAATTTCAATCCATCACCACACTAGTGAGCGTAAATGCCTTTAAGCATACAAATACATGTTTATTCTGTATTTGATATATAAGTATACATGGTTAGTGTAAGAGCAATGACAATGTCATACGTAGATAGCCTCCTGTTCTTTTTATTATAAATGGTATGTAAGAAGCTTAATCAGGAAAAATAGTCATGTAATATTTCTATCATATTTTGTGTTTTTGCAGTGAGAGAAAAACGCAAGAGTCTCTATATAAACCACGTAAGTGAAAATGCCTCGCTATGCAGCTTTCTCCTTGTTGTCTATATTATACAGTGAATAAGAGTTTTCACATTATGATTTCCATATTGGTGAGAAGATGCTGATGCTTCAAAGTCTGCAGTGCATCAGGATCCAGAAGCGCAGGTCATAGCTACTGAGCTAGTGGAATGGATCTGTTGTTTTGAGGATAGTGCCATGCTTGCAACCAGCGTATGCAGGCAGTTGCTAGCTGGGATGAAGAGCTGCAGACACTGGTACCGTTTTCAAAATTAAGCCAAAACAAAAGTCACAAAACTTTAAACTGCGTTTATATGTAAGCTCGCTGTTGTCAGAGAGTCTGTGGCATTCAGTTTTTTACATAGAAGTCTTGAAGTGCCCAACCATTGCTGATGCAATGTAAATGTGTATTTGTTATGTGGTATGTGCTCAGTGTGTACATGGGGTTTTGGTACGCTTATGTACCCTGGGCATTTTTTAGTTCAGTTCTCTTCTGTTTGAACTGAATTCTCAGTGGAGCTGAGAGCAAATCTCCCACAGCCAGCTTCAGGTACAGGATTGGTGTCTTTCCCCTCTTAGCACCGTTTGCACTACCAAAGCACCTGGAACCAGTGTGTCCAAATGTTAAGCCTTGTGCTGAATTATCTGGAGTTTCTCAAATGATTTTTGTTTTTAGGGTGAAATGGGGAGAAGTTCACTAATTTTTTTTCTATCTGGAATTATAATCCTTAATTTCACAAGCCATTTTTAAACTGGTACAGCTGCTGAAAGAGTGGGATTTGGTTTATGGCTCTCCTTCTCTCCTCTTTGGTGCTGATGCTTGTGCAGCTGTGGCTAACCTGGTTTATGGTATGAGTACAAGTAGTTTAAGCATAGCTACAAGCAAAAATGTATTTGTTCCTCAGTGTGATTTACATCAGTGCTTACACCCACACAAAGGGAGGATGGCAAAGAGGCTGAAATGAGCAGCTGAATGGGGTGACAAAGCGGGATAGCTTCATGTCTGTACGGAACAGGTTTGTGCTGATTTAGTGTTTCTGAAACTATGGCCTCGCTTTAAAAGCAAGCTGAGGTTTTCACAGTTTGCCAAGATTTCAAGAAAGTCATGAATTACTATGAAGTTTGTACAGTCTGCAGAGTTGGCTGCACCGGATCAGCAGATACTGTCTGTGCTTCCTAATCCTATTCCTCTCTAAAACATTTCTACTGTTTACAGTGCATGTGAGAGTAGTTCGTATTATAATTGTATTGTTATGAAATAGTAGAGTTAATGTGCTATAGACATAATAACGTATGTTCAGTCATTTCCAGCAGGCTTTTTAGCCTCAAACTTGAATGTTTGAGTCTTGAATGCAAAAAAAAGCAGCCACTGCAAGTCAAGGTATTGGCAGAGTGTCTGTGACAAGCCACCTCACCATGTGGCTGAGATTCTGATGTGTGCCACAAATTTTCCATGCCATACAGAAGGTGTGTTCTGCAGTAGATGGACTGAGGATGGATTTCTGTGGCAAATTGAGCAGACGTAACTCAGGAATTCCGCTAAGAGCACGCTGTTGGGAATTGATACAGTGTTTCAGTGCTAGGTTTGTTGCAGGAAGGGAAAGGATGATCATGTCACTAAGGAATTGCCTAGTGGGGGACTGGATGTAGCACCTCATGCACTTGATGCCCTAGGAAATATACCTTTTCCTATTTTCCTTTTAAAAGTATTATTTAAAGCATTAGCTAAGCTTGCAGTGATATAAACTGCTCTCAATCTGGTTTACTACTAAAATCTGACTTCTCTGTGCTTACAAAGTACCTCTTCTGAATTACAAAGCTGATTAAAAACATCAGCCTTACAGCTGAAGTCCTTCCTATAGTTTGGTGTATGTGTCCTTACAAGTTAGTGATGTTACTAGGCAATATCCAAAGATAAGCCATTATTTTCAAGTGTGGCCTGTGATATTTAAGGTGATAACAATTTAAGTGAGATATGGTTGACTACAGCATACCTGTAAGTATTCATTCAGCACCTCTGAAGTATTTAATCTGCTAAAGCTGATGTGCAAACTGGTGATTATTTTCTAAGTGGTTGCTGTGGTTTTCTGTAGGCAGCCAGGAGCCCTGCTGGGTTTGTAGGATGCCGGGAGCCACTCTAGTTTCCCTAGACTACCTTGGTTGAAGAAATCTGAGGAAACAGGTTTAGCAAACGTATATGAAAAATCATGGGGGGTGCTTACATTTCAAGTGAATTTAAAATATGCTTTATTGGTTGACTGTTTCTTTTTCATCCTTTTTCTGTGTGTGTTAAGGGCGTTTCTAACAGGAGCTGTTGCTGCTCATCTGTTACCTTTGATGAAGTGTCCCCACTTCTGCTCTTAAGGAAGCAAGCTGAAGGAGAAACGTTTTGGAATGTTGTTTTCTTTCTATAAGAGCTCCTCCTTGTAAATTAACACTCTTCTCTTTTGTGTTGTTTTTCTTTCCATAGTATCATCTTTTCTAAGTCTGCATATATTTATTTTCTTTTTGTGTCTAATAACCAGGAATATTTTAAAAACATTTTAATTTTTTTATCCTGTTGTGCAGTATCTTATTTTGCAGGAAAAGTTGAATATCTCTCAAACAATGTGGGCAACAAGAGAAGTATCAATAAATATTGTGCTTTTTCTTTTTTAACTGCCTGCCTCAGTCTGTGTAGTAGCAGGTGAGAATGGTAGCTTACACACATACAGTTTCAAAATGTTAACTGGGAGAAATAGAAAATAAGTTAAAATTGACTCTGTGGTTGTATGCAACAGTGACATTTTCTGGAATAATCCTCTGGAAGCTTCAAGAAATCTTCAGTGTCAATTTTGCTCGTTTTCCTTTTTGTTTTGTTTAAAAATGCACTTTTTCACTGTAATCAAGCCATTTTCCTTTCTTGCCTGCTCTTGTTTGTAGCATATTTTCATTGGCTGGATAGTTCCCTTTTATCCCCAAATGAACAGTGGGCTCCTGCTTAGATTTACTGTGCTTTGCCACAGGCTGGCAGTTTCCAAGCCTCAGCTTCACCTTGTCAATAGGTGTGATGGAAGAAACTAGCAGCTGCTCTTTTTGGGTGGGGAAGGAGTGAACGCAGCGCTGACAGGTGCCATGGGGAAGCTGTCATTTCTCTGTTTTCCCCCAGAGCCTGGGGAGATGACAGCTTTAGGATGGTGTTGAAGCATTTGCACAACTGCAGAACATGTCTTCGTAGGGGGTGAAAGTGCGGGAGTTACCCACCGACAACCTATCTGACGTGCTTGCTTTCTTCTAGCCTATTTTAATTTCTGAGCAGTTGCAGCATATTCCTTTCCCATTGAACTGGCAGCTGTTGTACTTTGTTATACCTTTTATGTAATGCTTCTTCAGTGAGTCTTCACGTGTCTTTTTTTTTTTTTTTTTTTTTTTTTCCAATCTGCTTAGTCAGGCTGCTGAGAGGGATGGAGATGCAGACTGAGGCGTTTCCTTTCTTAGTAAGAAGAGATTGAATCGGTATCCATGCCTGGACAAGGAAAGCAAACAGGAAGATATGCGTTGTGCTTTCAGTGGGGGAGAGTGGAGAAAGATGGATGTTTTATCGTTACTTGCAGAAGCTAGGGTTTTTTTGTACTGCATGGTTTTATTTTGCAGGGGAAAGGAGCATGGCAGGAAAAGGTAAAGATTTGCTAGAAATCTTCCCATTCAGACAAAATGAAAGTGTTTTTTTTTTTTTTCCCAAAGAACTTTCTTCTCCTTGACAGTGTATGCTTTTATAATCTAAATGGTATTTATGAACATTAACGCACAGTGAAAATACAGGAACAGCTGTGTGTTTATTTGCTCCTGTGTAGCCCCCAAATTTACCTGTCAGAGTGGATCAAAAGGCTGTTTTGCTTCCCTACTGTGAGACTACCATGCATACGACTGGTAATCAAATACTTTCAGCTAGTGATTAGGAAAGTAAATATGATACATACTGAAATGGGAATGCGGTCTCGAAAGGTACTTTAATCCATGCAAAGCACAACATAAAATAAGAGATGAAGTTTCATTATGTGGACTGCCTGAGGCTGGCTATTGAAAAAGTTTATTATTGCTGGCCAAATTTTTGAAGATATTTTAATTAACATTCCTTACTCAAAGAGAAGAACAAGATAAACTGGAAGGTAGATTAGAGGCTTCTCAGGTGCTCTTGCAGCCTTTCTACCGATTGCTTAATCTAGTCTTTGCTCCTCTCCATTGCAAGATCACAGATCAACAGGGCTAGAAGCACCCTTACAGGCTGTCTGGTCCATCTGGCAGGTTCACTGTACCAATGCCATTCCTGACAAATGCTGCTCAGGATGCTTTATCAGGCTTCCAATAAGTTAGAATCCTCAGGTTCTTTCTGTCTTAGCTGAATTGAAATGTTTTTTGCTTTTTTTTTCCCCCCTAATATCTTTCAGCTGTTTTCTTATCTGTCCACTAAGGTGAAGGCTTTTTAACTTCTCCTGTCAGCCTCAAGGCAGCAAGTTCTATTAAGTGACATATCTGTAGGGGGAGGTGGAGCAAGAGCACAGGGGAAAATTCTTTTGCAAGATGACTATGTAATAGTTGCTTCACTGGGAGCCTGGTGAAGTCCCTGTGGTCAAATTGCACAACACCAGCAGTATGTAAATATAGGCCTTTGAGCTACTTTTAGTGTTCAGAGAAATATTTAATCTCTTCAGGTGTTTTACCTGTGTTTTAGTGAGATCTGCGTGCACTACAGAAGAATTTAACAGGGATTGGTGAGCCCTTCTCTAGCTCAGTGGAACCTAATGCAGCTTTCTGTGTTTGACGTGAATAAGGACAAGCTTTGAGAGTTTGAAAAAACTACAAATAGAGATGTAGCCATAGGCATGAGTTTTGAACATTATCAAAACGTCACTGAGACTAATCAGCTGAGAACAAGGCAGAATCCTGCCATAGACTGGTTAGATACAATAGATATTATGTAAGAGTGGTTGGCCTGGATTTTATTTTATTTTATTTTTTATAGT